GCTCAGCCAGTGAGCGGGAACCGGTCTGTATGTGGGATCCGAACCCTCGGACGGGAGCGCCGCCGCGCTTCCCAAGCGGCGCACTATCCAGTGCGCCACCGGGCCGGCCCCAACTTTTATCCATTTTGAGGCCACAGACCCTTTGAGAATCTGATGAAATCTCTGCCAAAGAGCATACACAGCATTTGTATACAATTTCAGGGAAGGTTCCCACTGCAGTTCCCCCCCATCCTTCATTATTCCCTCAGACTTAGGATCTTAGTTCTTAAAGGAATGATTATCTCTGCAGGTTCGAGAAATGGCTGCTACAACCTTAAGTGGTCTGTTACAGTGTAACTTCCTTACCATGGACAGTCCTATGCAGATTCATTTTGAGCAACTTTGCAAAACAAAACTGCCTAAGAAAAGAAAGAGAGACCCTGGTTCCGTAGGAGATACCATTCCTTCTGCAGGTAACATTGTGGGTAGAAAATGCCCATATTCTTTGGGAATTAACCAGGCTTACTCAACAAGTATTTATTGAGTACTTTTATATGCCCAGGTCTATGCTAGATACTGGGAGAAATTGTCTCTACTTTTGAGGAATTTTGCATATGGAAGGCAGGACCTAAAATGTAAAAGCTAAAATTGAGACAGGTACAAAAGAATCTGTACATTGCTACATACAACTATTATATTAAATCAAGTCTACACCCCACCCAAAATAGCTTCTTTTAGAGAGCTATCCAGAATTAGTTATTTTGCAGGATCTAAAATACATTTGGGTTTTTCTTTTGTTTTGGGTTTATTTTGGCAGCTGGCTGGTATGGGGATCCGTAAAATATGTTTTTTAGAGTACAAAACTTATTTGTGGATGTGCTAAGAGAAAAAACTATATGTAAAGAAAATAAGCTTTGCTTTTATTTGGAGAGGGGAATGTTCAGTACTTCACTAGTCATTCGGTGAGAGTGTCAGAATAGTCGTTATAGGAGCTTTCTTTTTTTTTTTTTTTTTCCCTTTTTGTCTTTTTTCGTGACCGGCAACGGATCGCAACTCTCAGTGTCGCGCCCGTACCGGACCGGGACCGGCAACGGGATCACAACCCTCGGTGTTGCGCCCGCACCTCGCTCAGCCAGTGAGCCGCCGGTCTGTATGTGGGATCCGAACCCTCGGCGGGAGCGCCGCTGCACTCCCAAGTGGCGCACTGTAGCAGTGCGCCACCAGGCTGGCCCCGTTATAGGAGCTTTCAATCGAATATAGATAAGATAAAGACTAGAATAAGATCTGACCACTGTGTCACGTTTAAAACATGATTACAAAGAAGCATCTGATCTTGCCACTGCTATCTACAATCACAAAATAACAGAAAATACATGGGAAAATTATTAGTAAGTAGGAAACAGCCAATTCTAATAAAATACCAGTGTACATTCTAGTTTCTTTGCTTGAGAACTTCATTTTTTAATAGTTAAGTGCCAAAGTATTTTTAGGTCTTTGTTATACCAAATGGTTTGTTTACAATTTTGACTTCTTCAAATTCTCATTTTCTTACCTTTAATTCTCCCTTCCTCCATGTTTCATGTATACGTATATAATGCACTTAAAAACACGTGTATACACACACCTTTATTAATAAACAATAAGAATTTGAAAGCATATTTAGAACACAGACACTTTGCAGTTCTCTGTTTTGAGAAATACAGGTATTCTTTATACATGGCTTGTTTATCTAATGAACCAATGCACTCTTTGTAGGGGTAGTCACATCCAGAAAAACACTGCCTACCTTTGGAGATTTAGGATCAGGAATTGCACTTTTGCATGTGAATGATCAGAAAAGCCACACCTATGTTAGTTTTAACGAACATGACACATTTCTGGCGGAGGTACAATTATGCTGTCATTGAGGGCAGCTATAGGACGTCTTGACAAATTCTTAAATGCTGGGTTATTTTTAGTTCAGCCTCAAAAACAAGTTTTTGATGTGTATACATGTGGATTGATTTCCAATGCAGAAATTCACCCATTGAAAACAGCTAGCGTAATGGAAAACTAGTTTTATTTCACTGTAGCAAGTACATTAGAAACCTGTAAATATTTGCACATATATTGCCGTTTTCTTTGCAGAGTTGGTCAAACGGCATGCTGGTGTGCTAGGACTTGGTGCATGTGTTCTTTCTAGTCCTTACGATGTTCCTACTTGGATGCCCCAGCTCCTTATGAATCTCAGTGCACATCTGAATGATCCTCAGCCTATTGAGGTACAATTTCTTCCTTGTTAGTTTCTTTGCATATACAATATCAGTGAGGATTTGTAAGAATCCATTTATACCAGTAATTTCCTACACACTCTGAACTTTCTGATTTGATAAAGTTACTGGCTTTGCCAGGGCCAAATCTACTCACCAATAATTATTAAAATCTTTCAGGGACCTTGTTCCCTTATATATTTGAGATCTTTTGGTAGCAAGTAAATTGCTGTATGTAGCTTCTGTTCCTTCTAGTCCAGTGGAAATAAAGTATTGTCAATATTTTCGGGATAGTTAAATTTTGTGCTTCTATTTTCTAGCATTGTATATCTGGGAAGTATCTCAATGGCAGCTAATATTAAACAGAAAATTATGATGATATTATTTAGTGAACACCCATGTTTCTAAGTCAAACATCTTAGACCAATGGTTTTGTCCTTCTCACCTTTGTAAATAGATGTGAGTGCGTATTGAAACTGGTTTAATAATGTGGCATAAGTTCCAGTGGTTTGTCCTTAAGTAAAGCCAGTAATTCCACAGAAGGCATTATACGAAGTTATACGAGAGGAGGGACTCGATTCAACTGGTGACCAACTGCTCGTTCTCACCGATCTCCTTGTGTCACCATGCTATTATGCATAGAAGGGTAAGTCAGCAAAGTTCTGAATTTAAGGAAGTGACATCTTCAGGCAAATGTCATTGGTTTGGTTACAAAGAAGTGGGTATGTTTTTTCTTTTTGCTGACATTCTTAGATGTCACTGTTTACATGAAGGGGGAAGGGTTGTTTGTTTTTTATACATATCTATTGCTATGGCCAGTAGAAATAAGTTTCTAGAGAGTTTTCTATGCCTCTCTGCTTCAGATATTAAGCAGAGAATTGATGTAACTGCTTTCGGACCTTTATATAAATGAGTAGTCTAAGTAGCCTGGAAATAGGTAAAAGAAGAGAAGTCCTACTCTTAGTTGCCTCCTGAGTGGTGTCTGAACATTTTGGGTTGCCCTGAGGACTCTGGATTCTACACGGTGGTGAGAACATTTTATCAAGATTCTTAAGTACTTATTACCCATTCTCTATTAAAGAGGGAGGACCCAGAAGCCTTTCTTCTGGGATAGGGAGAATAAAGAAAATTTCATTTATTGGACTTTTAGAGTTGGATGCCCTGTTACCTAATTGAAATTTTTTTCCTCCCTGATCCAGATGACTAATCTTCACTTCGGGCTCTTTTCATCAAAAATTCCAGATCCTCAGGTACCATCTGTGGTGGCTCTCTGCAGGTTTTAAAACTGCTTCTGTTGAGCTCTCATCATTTTGGTGGTTTCTGTGTTTGGTTTCATTAGTCTGTGTTCCACAGGTTCTTAGCTGCCATTTGATTTCCTAACTTGTCCAGAAGTGTTTTCAGAATATTGATCACTTTTTCTTTGAGGCATCTGAAAAGTCAAAGTCTCAGACTAGAAATAAGTACCCAGTATGATCATGGCATCCAAACAGAGTCTAAAGAACTCACTAAGAAACAGTTTACTTGGAATGGAGAATACCCATCTGTAACACAGGTCCTGTCATTTCATGCATCTCAAGTTATTTTGAATTTTTCCCAAATGGCTGTTGGGTTTAGATAGTAGTAGGACTGTGGGCCCTAAATCTGAAGCCTTGAGAGCCTTGGGTCTGGAGAGCCATGGAGAGGGAAGGAACAGAGGGCAAGTTGAACCTAACCAATGACCCGATGAATTGCTTCACCATGACACAGAAATGAAGTCTGTGTCCACGTACTTCCCACGGACTGGAGTTTTTGGTGCTGAATGGAGAGCCAGTTGCTGAAAAACTAGGGGTTCAGTGAATAAATTTTTGATTGATTGCTGTGTGTGTATACAATATGTGATTTTGAAAATAAACAGGAACAATGAAAACCTTGACTGGTTGGTTTTTACCTGTATTCTTTACAAATATTGTTTTGATCCTCTTTTAAAACTGTTACACTTCACCTAAATGGAAGACTGCTGTGTTTGTGGAAATTCTGTAATTTTTTTGTCTTTCTTTTGTTCTCTATTTTTTTTTTTTTAATTTTTGCCGGCAGAATTGTTGAGAGACTAATGAGGATTGATATTTAATTGACCTGTTTGTTTAATATGTTACATAGATGTAAAAGATTGTATAAACTGTCAAGATGGCATTGGCAAGACTTTGTACAGATGAAGCCTTTTACACAATACCATTGTGTAATTAATTTGTAAAGATTCACATGTAGCTCTTTATTATAGTGATTTTGGGCTTTTGTACTCATTGAATGCCATTTTTGTGTGTTTTTTAAGTTATTTTCTTTATCTTTTCATGTTACAAAAGCTGAGGTGTGGGGTTTTTTTTAGTTCATTTATCATTAGAATGTCTGAATTTTTATGTAACTTTTTCATGTGCATCTCTAAATGCTAACAACACTTGTTTGCCTATGACAAGTTTATAGAGTGCAAGGTATCTTCTAGGTTGAAACAGTTCACGAGTTCGTGAATGTCTTCTTGCAACACACCCTGTACAGTCTTCCTTAGAGGAACACTATAGTATATTTTTTAGTATCTACCTGCTGAATGACTCGATACAGACCTAAGCACAGTGGTGGTCCTGGTACAGTATTTAAGGGTCAGCATACACAGGCGTAATCCCTGTATAGAATTGTGCCAAACTGATTATTTCAATTGTGTAACTAGTTTAAAACCCAATAAATGGATTGTTTTTAACACCTGCCTTTTGTCTTCATTAAGAAGAGAAGACAGTTCTGTAGGCAGTGACTTGTGGATTCCTTTTGTAGCCATAGATTTGGATCTGTAAATTCATGCCTTCTGACCATAATGAGTTATCTAGATCTGCCCTGTCCAGTACAGTAGCTGCTAGTCACATGCAACTCTTTACATTTAATTAAATTAAAAATTCATTTTCACTAGGCACATTTCAAGTGTAAAGAAAATAAGCTTTGCTCATTAGCCACATGTGGCTAGTGGTTACCATATTGAATAGCACAGATGAACTTTTCTATCATTACAGAAAATTCTGTTGGACAGCACTGACCTAGGTGATTGATTCTCAAATCGATGTACCTAAGAATCATGAGGGGATTTTGTTTTAAAATGTACATTCTAATTCATTGTTCGCAGCTTATGAAATCAATGCGTAGTCCTGAGACCACACTTGGAAGAGTTAAACTTTTTCTAACTAGGCTGCCCTAGCAATGGTTCTTAAGTGGGAATTTTTAAAAAAATATATAAGATGCCGGGGCTGCCCACTGTGTTCCTCAATTGAAATTTCTCTGGGTAGGGCTCAGGTATCAGCATCTTTTAAAAGTTCCATGAAGGGGCCGGCCCGGTGGCGCACTGCTACAGTGCGCCGCTTGGGAGCGCAGTGGCGCTCCTGCCGAGGGTTCGGATCCCACATACAGACCAGTTCCCACTCACTGGATGAGTGAGGTGTGGGAGCAACACCGAGGGTTGCGATCTCGTTGCCAGTCCCGGTCCGGTACGGGCGCGACACTGAGGGTTGCGATCCATTGCCGGACATGAAAAAAAGACAAAAAAAAAAAAAAAAAGTTCCATAAGTCCCGGTCCGGTACGGGCGCGACACTGAGGGTTGCAATCCATTGCCGGACATGAAAAAAAGACAAAAAAAAAAAAAAAAAAGTTCCATGAAGATTCAGTTGTGCAGCCAGGATTAAGAACCACTGGTGAAGACTCCCAAGTCCCACTCTAGACCTAAAAACAGAGTACCTTAATCCGAGTGCCTGTCATGCTCCCCAGGTGACTGATGCCATGTTTGGAAGTTGCTTTTTACCTTGATATTTCTCCAGTCAGGTAATACTGTGAGTTACTTCATTAAATTTTCTACCAGTGGCCTCTGGAATGAGAGGGAGAGAAAAGAGTTAGATAGGTAGTGTTGTCTAAGATAAAGAGTCTAAGATTAAAATGTATGGTGCATTAAAAAGGATGGAGAAGGATAGAGCAGGACCCATGTTAAAAGAGACACATTTGCTGGGGAGGAAGGGAGGGGCAGACCAGTGTTTGGAAGTCACTGTTGAGTGGGCCTAGGTTTCTATGAGGGTGTGTAAGAGGGGAGGAGAAAACCTCATGTATATCTTTGAGGTTGTAAGATCTAATAAAGCGTTAGTTTCTAAATGGGCCCTTTTAAAAACAAAGACTTTGCAAATTGTGTTTCAAAATTTAGGAGGAAAATTTACTCACCTTTTAATGTGAATGACTGAAAATTTAAATGCCGTAATTAAATAAGTAATAAAGTAGGTGTAGTAATGAGAAAGCTGTTTTCAAATATTTGAAATACTTGGCATTGCGAAGTTCTTGAAGTTGATGATCAGTTTTGGTGATTAGTGTGGCCAGAAAGGAGCAGTGAGTAATTTTTTTTTTTTTTTTTATAAAGATGACCGGTAAGGGGATCTTAACCCTTGACTTGGTGTTGTCAGCACCACGCTCAGCCAGTGAGCGAACCGGCCATCCCTATATGGGATCCGAACCCGGGGCCTTGGTGTTATCAGCACTGCACTCTCCCGAGTGAGCCACGGGCCGGCCTGTAATTTTGTTTTATTGAAAGAATTAACTTTTTCTACATGGTCTTCATAATTACTTTTGTGGACTTTTCTCTTAATATATCCTAATTGATTTTGAGTATTCCCTTCGTTGAACATCAAGGTCGTTTTCAGTTTCTCTATTACAAATTACACTGCAGTGCACATCTTTCCTTTTCTTTGGTGGCTGGCCGGTACTAGGATCCCAACCCTTGACCTTGGTGTTTTCAGCATCAAACTCTAACCAAGTAAGCTAACTGGCCAGCCCATAATGCACATTTTCATACCGTCGTGTTTTAAAACTTTTTTTCTTTTGTTGGAGTGATTCCAAGGAGTGGGATTTTTAGGTCAAGAATCGAAACAATGGCTGGCTGCTTAGATCCCTTTGGTTACAGCTCTATGTTGGTAAACCCGAGGTCAAGGGTTTGGATCCCTGTACAGCCCAGCCACCAAAAACAAAAAAAAAAAACAAAAAACAAAACAAAAAACCCCGACATTTTAATAGCTCTGACATATGTTGTTTTCCTCAAATTGCACACAATAATTTATAATGCAATGGTAGTGTGTATTAGAATGCTGGTTTCACTGCACATTGATAGCCCATTCGTGTTTTAATGTATTTATAGTGAGCCCCACTTGATTATTTCTTGATTTTCCTTTTTTTTGTCTTCTTTCGTGTCCGGCAATGGATCGCAACCCTCAGTGTCGCGCCCGTACCGGACCGGGACCGGCAACGGGATCGCAAACCTCGGTGCCGCGCCCGCACCTCGCTCAGCCACTGAGCGGGAACCGGTCCGTATGTGGGATCCGAACCCTCAGCGGGAGCACCACCACACTCCCAAGCGGCGCACTGTAGCAGTGCGCCACCAGGCCGGCCCTTGATTTTCCATTTTTTTGACTGATTACAGTGTTTTTTTTCCAATTAGCTGGTGGATTTTGTAGACAATAGTATTAGCCTTGCCCTGGAACTGTAGTAGGTCCTAATTTCTCTTCTAAATCTCTAGAATCCTTTACAACTTGTAATTTTTTTTTTCTTTTTTAAGTATGAGGTCATTTCTCCCATAGGTGTAATGCTGATGGCCACAATTCAGCCCAAACCTGTTGTAATCTCCTCCCTTCATGCCAAATGCCTGGAAATGAGCTGGCAATTACTTATGCAGTAGCTAATTTATATGAAGAGGCATATAATTTTGGTCAGAATTTCACTCTAAATGCTAATGGGTCTTTTTCTGTTGACTGTTTCTAGGACCCAAGGTCACCATTGACAATGTATTTTAGAACTACATTGCAAATGGTTGAGGAGTGGAGTATGATTTATGTGGAAATTAACTGGAAAAATTTCTTTGAGCACAGAAATTTCTGTTAATTTCTTTAATTTCTGTTTGGTTATTTCTGAACAGAATTCTGATAGCATAGTCAATTCCTGGACTGAATTCTTACATCATAAATTATCCAGCCCTCTTGTTTTATTTCTTGGTGAAAATACAGGAAACTGGGAAAGAGAAATTTTATGCATAAGTCAAATTCTTTGGTACTAGTTGGTAGTTCTGTTTAAAAAGATAAACTTAGGGCCGGCCTAGTGGTGCACTGCTATAGTGCGCCGTGTGGGAGGCGCGGCGGCACTCCCTCCGAGGGTTCGGATCCCGCATGCAGACCGGTTCCCGCTCACTGGCTGGGTGAGGCGCGGGGGCAACACCGAGGGTTGCGATCCCGTTGCTGGTCCCGGTCCAGTACGGGGGCGACGCTGAGGGTTGTGATCCGTTGCCAGACACGGAAAAAGACAAAAAGGAAAAAAAAATAAATAAATAAAATAAAAAGATAAACTTAGCCAAAACGGAGACCGCAGTAGCAACATTCTCATTATTTCACCTGAACAGAATGAACTTCCTGGTTTTCAGGTACCAGGGTGAAGGAAAAGGCATTCAAATAGCATTCTCTATTTCTTTTTTTTTTTTTTTTTTTGTCTTTTATCTTTTTCCGTGTCCGGCAA